CGAACATGAAGAAGGAAAAAGGGATCTTCTAATACCTATCCACACCAACACCAACGCCCACACACAGCCACACCACACCCAGTTCGAAAACTTCGGCTTAGCTTACCTTGTATCTGACCAAGTTGGCAGCTCTGGCTCACATAGGCTGTTTCAACAAGGTGTACATGAGACAAGGTCAAGTAATACTTTTAGCGCATTTATCATAGAAAGAAATAATTTCAATTAACAGTTACTGATTTTTTAACAAGACATAGTTCGATTTTTGTTTCAATAGTTTATCTCAAATTGTGTTTACTACTTAAGAAGCGAAGAATTGACTAAAAATTTATTAAACATGAATAAAAAATGTACGCAATAATATTCATAAATTGTTTCATATTCAACACAAAGAAAGACATGATCGAAATTTTATTTTATAATGATTATTAAGGAGATAGATCGCGTTTAGGAATTGGAGGAAAGTGAGCTAATTTTTTTAATTTTTAACCATAAATATAATGTTTTTATTTGTCTATTTTTTTCTGCATAATGTTGTTCCATCGCCAAAACGTAAAAGACTAATATCAACACGTTGATCATTACATATAAAATCATTTATTTGGCGAATAGCTATTGTTTCTTTAGTTGTATCAGATTGATCAACAACTTTTCCATACCAAAGTGTATTATCAATGGCAATCAAACCATTTGAACGAACCAATTCAATAGCCAATTGATAATAATGTAAATAATTTGTTTTATCAGCGTCAATAAAAATAAAATCAAATGATCCATAACCATTCTCTTCAAGTAATTTTTTTAATGTTTCAATAGCAGGTCCAATTTTTAATGTTATTTTATCACTCACACCAGCTTTTTTCCATAAATCTTGCCGGATATATTTATCATCAATATCGCATGTTATTATATGACCATCTGATGGAAGAGTTAATGCAATTGTTAATGTTGTATAGCCAGTAAATGTTCCAATTTCAACTAAAACAAGAACACAGCAAAAATCTTAGCCTTTATGGCATAAAAAAAGACAACGATATAATTTTACTGCATCGTTTACATCCCATAAGTTGAATAATGACTTGAAAAAATTGAGCTTCATCAATCGAAGCAAGCATCTCTGATAAATCCCCTAGAAAATAAAATCCATAATATTGTAAACGATTCAATGGCACAAATAATAACTTGGTAGTGATTGTGTGTATTCAATTAATTCATTTTGTTCAGATGTTAAACGTAGTGAATGTTCTCTAATATATTGATCTACAGCATCAGAGGAGTCTTGAAGTTTGGTTACCATATTCTATCTGTCAAAACGAAGTTTATGTCGAATAATTCCAAATTATGTCTTTATCTCTTCTAACGATTGTTTGTTTTTATATCTAAAAATAATCGACCTGTGAGATTTAAGACGAATATATAAAAAATGAAAAGAAAAGTAATAAATAAATATCCATGGAAGTAACTTTTGATAACTGATTTATACTGCAGAAGAAAATAACCTAATACCCTTAGAATGATGTTTGTTGTATATTTCTAGGTTGAATAAGACGCATCTTAAGTAGACGCATACCAAGTAATTATGATCACTTATGTAAGCGAACCAAAAGACCGATGATGTGTAAGTGAAGATGTAAGAGATTGGCAAGAACATTTTTGTGTAAATTATAATTGAAAATGTTTCTTAAAATCGAAACTTTTGATTATATTCATACTTTATACTAAATCTTAGTTGAAAGCAACAAAAAAGAAACATTATTAGAACGATAACAACACTCATTGGTATAAATAAAAACTAAACTAATTATTAATCTGATCATTAATGATATTTTTTTTTCACTTTCGTAATTTCATCCAATCATGTGGGCATGAGCTTGTGCAGATGTCTTCCTTATATCGTCTAGAACAACATTGACGTCCTAAAGTCAATAGTGAGTATTGTTTATAAATAAAAAGGAGCTTTCTTTTTTTTAGATCAGTCTCAATAGAAAATTAATAGTAAGTATTTAAAAAAAAAAAAACTCTTTTTTTGTACTATGTACTGCGGATGAAGGATAAAGAAATCATGTATCTCTTATTCACCAGAAACACGTATCATCACAATGATAAACGATGGTGGTATACAAGTCAAGATGTAGCCATAGTCATAGACGCCAATAGTAGGACCTGGTCGAATGATCGAAAATAGCACAGAGTTGCCTATAAATAGTATCACAAATAAATGGAATATTTACGCATCGGTTCAATTAAACTGGTGATTATTTGGTTAGTGGCAGAACTTTATTCAAAAAATTGTTTGTCATGCAGACAAGGTAAGCAAATGCTACTGTTAAGTGTTATTGTTGGTATAATGAAAGCAGTTTTACGCGTTATCATGTATAGAAAAGATATATGGGTAACGTTTAATAGATTACGTTTAGAAGTCATTTAACAGAAGAATGATAAGAGCAAGTAAAAACTAACTTTGCAAATGACTCTGTGTTGATGGATGTGGGTGTAAAATAGGTTGTTAAGGTGGCACCCACACCTTATTACGCGATCAACATTATTATGTCCTCTTTTTAGATCAATCCAAACTAATTGCAGATCTAATATTGTTTTTCAAAAATCATTTGAACAATTAGTCATATTCATTTATTGGAGATTCGAAGAATCCTCAACAAATGCGCTTTAATCAGTAACGTTCCCTTCTCTGTTTTGGACATAAAGACATGTCACATAAATCGATGATGTCACCTCTAGTATTTATATTTGAAAAAGACTTTACTAAACAACCCAATTAAATGACTTTTGCTAATCGAAGATAATCATCATGTTCAAGAATAGTTATATCATGAATAAGAACGCACCAAGTCCATAGTATTAAAGATGATGTTTTCCTTGCTGAAGAATTCAATGGTTAGCGGATTTTGCATATCATCCAAGATCAGTTTTTTTACTCTATGTGAAACTAGTTGAGATTCATGAAGCATTAAACAAACGTTTCAGAGTTGACTGAAAATTCTAATTTTCAAGGTTTTCTTCGACCAGTGCCGATCAACTCTAACTCAATTTTAGACTTTCTTTTGCATTTATCAAAACCTCAGAATATATTTGAAAAGAGCGTTCGAAACTAAACACAACTGACATGAAAAATTGATAGCAAACCAATAGTTCTCAATTTTGGCAATATTTAACAATCTGATTAGAAATTTGAGGAATTAGTTTTACACCGTTTTCGAAAACATACACTCAACATTGAGAGTTATCAACTTGGTATACATTTGTCATGCCAGTTATATTCAGTTTTTAACGCTCTTTTCAAATCTTACCTAGGGGTGGATGTGGCTACTGGCGTGGCATGCGGTTGCGTTGGACCTTATAACAATCTTTAGACTTATACCCACACCCCAAAAAGACTACATACGTATGTGTTCTAACCAGCTGCTAATCGATTCACAATCACTTCAAACAGATGGAATCGAGTATGTTAAGTATTGTGTCGATCTTTGTATTTCTTGCGCATTATTCTTCAGTATGTATGGATGATTTGTGAAAAATTCAAGGGGAAACAAGCGGACTTCTGTACTTCTTGTACTTCTTTGTACTTCTTCGTAATTCTTGGTACTTCTCGGTACTTCTTGACAAATATCAAGAACTCTGTTCCAAAAAAACAGAACATTTTTGTTCTGTTTTTCGGGAACAGAATTTTTGACATTTACCAATAACAGAACACTTGTTCTGTTTTTTGAGAACAGAATTTTTGACATTTCCCTATAACAGAACACTTTTGTTCTGTTTTGGGAAAAAATCGAGGGAGAAAGCGCGTACTTCTCTGTACTTTTTCGTACTTTTTGGTACTTCTCTGTACTTCTCTGTACTTTTGTACTTCGGAAGTACAGAAGTCCGCTTGTTCCCCCTTGGAAAAATTACATTTCAGTTGTGCAACGATAGCAAAATGAGATTCTTTGGAATACTCATTCCTGTTTTCTTTGGACGCTGAAACGTTTAGGATGCAGTCAAAATAGTATGTCAAACTCAATTCATAAATGAGGCAAACACTTATAGTCGAAAAAACTATCGGAAGCTACCGAAAAAATCTCAATGTATTGAAACAATTCGAAGGGCAATAATAGATTTTTCAGAGGATGCGAGTGTGAGAATGAGATTATTACCTACAGTCACACCTTTCACTCACATCTTATTTTTGTTTGTTTATTGGGTAGAGATATTTAAAAAGGACAATAGTTCTCGGACATCTCTAACAGTTTTGTATAACAATCGATTGCAAGATGATATTTATACGTATCTTCATAAATCGCACCAATACAATAGAAAACAAATATTATTCGAACGATTCCATGTTTCGACTAAATTAGCAATGCTCTTGCATAGTATAATCGAGCTTCAAGTTTGTATTGCTCGCTTCTACGATTCACTTTTTTCGATATAAACAGCAGATAGATACATACAACTGTGTGCGAAATCAACAAAATCTTCTGGAAAATATTCCAATTTCATATTTAAACGTATTAAATAGTCTTCTAGAGTATCGTCGAACAATTTTTGTCACAAAATACTTATCAAATAGTATCTATCCAATCAGCATGTTGACGATGAGGAAAAGTTTGACTAATGAATGTGACAGCCGTCATAAGATGCTTTCATCAATTTTCATAATTACCTTAGTACCATAAACAAATACAGATGTTTTCGTAATTGCAAGCTAGACGAATAGGATTCAATTGTCTAGGATTGACATTGTCATTTTTGGAAAATTTTTCAAAATATTCAAAGTTTTTGACATAATTACGCATTTCATGAGAAATAATATCTAGATTAGCCAAAAAAAAGTCGGTTATATCTTCATTAGGCATGCACCAATGCCAAAACTCTTGGTCTAGTTTCTAACATTTATTTTATCTAGTTCATAAAAAAATGTCTAGCGAAAAATCAGACTAAAGTCGATTCTTCTTTTCAGTAAAATCAGATTGAAGCCATAGTATTTAATCGATTTCAATGAAAAAAGAATGGATTTTATTTGAGTTTTTCACCAGAGTTTTGTCATGAATTAGATATAATGAATGTTAGACACTAGATAGAAAAATAGCCAAGTCTGAAACCATTCCAATACCAATACCCTCACAAGCAATACCGATCAAAGTCAAAATTTCGAGCAAGATTGAGAGAACATATTGAATATATCAGTGTATCATCATATTTTTGCAGTTTAATTAAAACTAAACTAAAGTATGTCCGAGTACTAACTGGATTAATATTATGAATATCAGAAAAAGTAATTCGTTCCCACTCTTGTACATTTTTCAAGATAACTATACGCAAAATCATAACTTCTCTTTAAATAGTAAGCATATCCAATTTCATTTAAAATTTTAACAAAATTAATATGACAATTTGGATAGATATTTTGTTTGATTTTTAACGAAGTCATATAATAATCGAAGACTTCATCATATTTTTCTTGATTTGTGAATGGATGAGCAATATAATTTAAAATCGGCTCAATACTATCATGTCCGATTGGAAGACATTTTTCATTCATTTTTAAACTTTCCGAATGATATTTCATCGCATTAGTCAAATCACCCATATCGTTGTATATTGTATCAATATGATCAAATGCTCTGGCTAATTATTTGAGTTCATTAGGAAGATATTGTTGTTGCATTTTTTACGATAAATTTTACAAATGCTTCCGTGACAAGCCGCTATATCGGAATAATTCGAATGAACTTCGCTAATTTTCATAGAACGTATATAATACTCCAAAGCTTGATCATATTGTCCTATAATGCTAAAAGTGGAGCTAAAATCATTCATTACAAAAGATGATACTCCTACACATAGAGTCTCAGTATGTATTAACATGTTATATGAATGTTTATAATATTGTAGAGGTTTTTCATAATTTAAGTTTAGTAGCTCCACTGATATCAAAGTAGTAATAAATAAAGACTTGCGATTTTTTCTCATATAGGTAGCTATAGAACCTGTAACTAAGGATCTTGAACGGTTATAAGTAGAGAACGAACCTAATTTATGTAATAAGTAGTTATCGAATGATGATTCTCGATCAATTGGTTTCTGTGACACCATCACTAAGACGAATAGCAAACACTGACAATGATAAATATTCGTATTTGCGTTCTACACTTGAGTCTCGAGTGGAATCTCAATGAATAGCATGTGGAATTTCGCTTAGAAGTATCTCATTAGAGTGACAATAAATTATTAATAACTTTTGCACTATGCAATTCATACTCAGTACAAGCTATGGAGACATGTTAAAAAACTCATTTC